CACAGCTTCACCACTTGCCATAATGGATCCTGTAATCAACAGCATCCTAAACAACCCATCCCAAGCAGAAAGGAAGTTTGGGTTCATATGGTCTTTCTTACAGCATCTGTCAAGTTTCTTCCCACTCCCTCCTGCATATTGCTAACCCAGAACAATCTTATTCCCATCTGTGCCTCCTGAAGTTTCTTTCCCTCAAAGATTTGCTTTCAGCCACACTGGAAGGGAAGCAGTGTGGCTAAGGAAAGAGCAGAGGAGTCCAAATCAGAGCTGGGGCAGCCTCTAGCTGCCTCTGCCCATGACCTGCATGTCAAAGCTGCTTTGCCTCTTCATGCCCCAGTTTCTCCATGCACAGGGTAATGACACCAGACTTGGTGGAGAAGAGGACACTAAAACCCAGTGCTGTCATTCTGCTGTCTGGAAGAAAGTTGTCTCTGAGAGACAAACTTCACACAAAGGAGTAAAAGTAGTTCCTACCCATGCAGTTTGATACACCACTCTTCAGAGAGACTACAGATGAGGAACTGGGACATGTTCACAGTTGTTCAAACTAGTGGTCCCTCTCTGCCAGAGCTGGGATAATACCAGCCTGACACCCTGGAGATCTCTGCAGGTTTCTAACACTCATTAAGAGTTGTTTCTGGCACAGAAACAGAACACAAGGGGAAAAGAGGTGTGGGGGAAAAAAAAATCAGCAAGACTACTGGCAGGCTTTTAAACAACTGTGGATTATCTATTGTGCCACAGCAAAGAGACAGTGAAGAAACCCATCAAACTGGAAAAGGCCTGCCCAGGATTTTGTATGTGGGCTTGCAACCCTTCCTCCCCACTCTACCCCCACACCATCTACATGGAATATATAACCTGAGAATTCACCTGTTCCAAGTTATTTTCCTTGTTATTGTTCTCTTTGGAACACAATCTGACTTTCTGTTATTCTGGAGACAGATGAGGAGGTGGCTTGAAGTGTATGAATTAACACTCCACTACCCAAACCCTAAGGTCTTTGTATTTAGGTTTAGTCATTGCAGCTAAAGGTAAAAGCAGAAGATGAATTTGGAGTCATAAGAAAAATAATTTCTTACCTTTATTTTCACTTCTGTCATATCACGAACTACTTTTTAGTTGGAACAATGTATTCCAGTCTCAGACTTGCAGTACTTTGGAAACCTGCAAACCTATAAAGGCTTTTTGCCTCTCAAAGTAGCAAAACCAGATATGAAAGTTCTGCTTGAAACCAGAAAATCCTCCAAACAGTGCTTCCAGTGTTACAGGTTTGGTCTTGGGCTGATCCCTTCTTAGCAGTGCCAGTTCCCACTACAATCAGCATTTCAAATAGAATTAAAGTCATAAAATCCTAATGATAGAGAGAGAAAGTTCTGCAGAGGGAAGGGGCAGGTTTCCAGCACCAGCAAAAACTACCTAAAGTAGTCTCCTTTTAAAACCACTAGTATCAAGTCTTATTTGTGCTGTTACAGACCTTACAGACCTCACAGATCTTCGTAATCACAAGCCCTTCCAGAGCTGCAACACTACTAGCAGTGCTCTACTACCAAGTGGCTCCTGCAAAGAGCCAAAACGACCATACCTCTGAGCTTCACGGTCATCCTTGGGGTTGTAGTTGGACAGACAGTCCAGGATGAAGATCTGGCCCCACTCCGTGCACTCATTTAAAGCTGTCAGCAGCTTGTTAATGTTCTGAGGGTTCAAATCCAGCAGGTTGCTGTTGGGATGAGATTCACTGATTTCTGACAAGGCAGCCACAGCGTTTGCTACCACCTGGGAGAGGAGACAAGATGAGTTCCTTGTTAGCATGTCAGCAGGGGCTTGACAGGGATTGACTTGAGGTTAGTGTGGGTTACGCATGGGAAACAAACATGGAGATCAGTTATCTGAGCCTTCAGGGACCCAAGACAATCTCAACCAACCTGGAGAGCTCAAAGCTTCACTGGGAAGAATGAGGACCTGGGACCAGGACATCACAAGAGACCTTACTCTGGAGGGAGCTAGAAATGGCATCTAAGTGTCCACAAGAACATCTTGCCTTCCTGCAGGCTCCAAACTTCCACCCTAGCTTGCTTCAAAAAGGCATCATCTCCCCACAGTTCCTCGATGTTCAACTGATACAGTCAAGGTCTCACAACCTCCAATTGCCCTACTTATTCACGAATGTGTGCCTCTTGCCTAATTTCCCCTTGGCAGCCCCATGGCACATGGCTTAACACAATCCAAGACATGAGATGCCAGGTGTCTGGCAGCCTTCAGCTCTGTAGCAGCACTGTCAGGTCACCCAGTTTGCAAGCAAACACACAATTTCCCTAAAATGGACAACTCCTGCTAAATTTTTAACAACACATTTCAATTCCAAACAGTCTCCATAGCATCCATTTGCTTTACGAGAGCCACGTTAGAGTAAGCACTCAGGCACATCTCACCCCAGAAAATACTCCTGCTACATTTAAGACTATATAAGGTCTCTTTTCTAAGCAGGGATGAAAGCACAGAGAGGAGGTCCAGGTTCCAGTGTGACAAGAGAAGTGAGAGTGCAGCACCAATTTCTACCTCTTATTTCCACACTCAAATTCAACAGGTTTTTTTCTACCAGACTCCACGTGAAGGTTTTTAAATAGAAGAGTTGCAGAATACAGAGACAAAAATAGAAAATTTGCAGCTGAGACTAAAGTCTTATTTGTTTAACTAACTCAAAAAGGGATTTAAGCTGTTTAACACAAGAACTGAAATACTCTATGAAAAGGCATTTTCAGGACGTTTTGCAATGTACATCATGTTCAGCCCAACTCAATACACACCTGCTCAGAGGAAGATTTATAGCATTATTGTCTATGGGATTAAGGCAAAACATCTTATCTAAAATCATCTGATTCTTTGGATGACTAAAGATGCTTTTAATGCAGTACACTGAAAACAAGAACAGAGCGACCAGAAAATTCACTGCTTGTCACTAAACCAATATATTCCAAAGTCATTGCACAAGCACAGTAATGCTGATTGTTTTGCATTTCACACCTAGAGGTCAGAGATAGGATTTTGATCCAAGATTTTATGAATTTCATTAGTTGAATGAGCCTTCTGTCACCAAAATAATTAGCAATCAGAACTGCTGTCTTCTTGTACTGTTTTAATGAGTAATTTATTAAGATATGCTGCTTATTCTCCTTATTATTTAATCTGCTTAATTCCTGAATGGTCAATGTGACACAGCATAAAGATGAAGTAGAAAACTGTTCTAATTTCATTGTGTTTTAGAAGTTTACAAGTGTAGGTAAATCCTAAAAGCAACTGAAAAGTTCAAAACTAAAAAAACCACTTAAAAATGAAACTACTTTGTAAAAAAATTTTGAAGCAACAACAAAAAAAAAAGTACAGAACAAAAGCATTGCAGAAAGGTCTGACAGTGGTCCTAAGGAACAGGGCTGAGCTCTGGCAAACACACTCACACTGCCAGGCACTACCTTGGTTGCAGCAATTGATAAATTAGTAGTTAATACAGAATCATAGAATAAATCATAGAATCATTAAGGTTGGAGAAGACCTCCAAGATGATTGAGTCCAACCACCAACCCAGCACTGCCAACCTGACCACCAAACCATGTCCCCAGGTGCCATATCCAGATGGTTTTGAACACTTCCAAGATATCCTAAACCCTGGGGCAAGTACAAGTCAAAGCAGCTGTGCTTATGTTTCCTTCCTTGCAGTGTCCATGAAGTCTGACACTGCATTTGCCATGGGCAAAGGATACAGAGAAATGCTGTTCCCATAGACCTGTGCACAGCAGCTCCAACCTGAGAGCTGACTCTGCATGAGGTCTCACCCTTAGGATCTTTTGGGTCCTTTTGTCAGCAAAAAGGATGCAGGAGTCCAAAGCAAAGCTGTGGATAAGAGACTACACACAATCCACTCAGATTTCCATTAAAAGCATCCATGAGAAAAGAGTGTCAAACGCACTTAGGAGCACGGGCTGTGGTCTCTTGGGTGTCAGAAAACAAGACTGGAAGAGGCTATGAAACACCTAGTGGCAGCTCAGTTCTGCCACAGGAGCTGGGAACTACAATTTTATAAAGTCCATAATTAAAGCTGGTCCTCACCTCCTACCTCAGCAAAACTGTGCTGCTGTCAGCTTGGTGACAAGATGATAAATGAAGCAAACAGGCTAAGGGAAGGGTTGGGGAGTATCTTCAACCTTTAAGCAATATTTATCAAACAAAAAGAACTTGCACTGAACATATTGATATGTTATGGTATTTCCAACAAAAATAATTAGTATCTTCAAGGCTTTTTACACAGCCACAGCAGAGCTGAAACACAAACAGATTTCAGGAACAAGTCCAACACAAACACTGGTTCAAGCACACACGTTCACCTCTCTTCACTGGCACTGCCAGTGGTTTCACTGTGAGACAGGAACACAGAGCAACACAAGACAACACTGCATGGTTCCATCCCAGTACACAGTGACTCCTACTCTGCTGACAGCTCTTACCCAGGGATGGCTCAGGCTGGAGGTCAAAGACTGAAGCATTGCCCACAAGTGATACTAACAGTTATCACTTGGGTGTGGAAAACAGTCCATCAAGAACCATTCAACCCCTACTCAAGTATTACATCACCTGGTAATCCAGTATGTGCTTTGGCACTCATGGAAGTAGCCCTGGAAATATTTAGAAAGATGTTATGGCCAAAAACCCAAAATCTACAACATCACCTCATAGCTGAATCTTAAGTCTTTGATTCAGTTGATACTTCTTTCTTACACAGCAACACAAAATCATGAAGTTCAGCTGCACTGAACTGCAAGTACAAGGTACAAAGTAATCACAGAATCATAGAATTTAGGGGTTGGAATGGACCTTACAGATCATCTAGTCCCAACCCCCTGCCCTGGGCAGGGACATCTCACTAGAGCAGGTTGCTCAAGGTCTCATCCAGCCTGGCCTTGAACACTGCCAAGGTTGGGGCAGCCACCTAAAAAGGACAATAAACTAACATCTAGTCCAGACCTCAGTTCTCAAAACTAATGAAAACAAACTATATGTGAGCCCAAACAACTAGTGAACAGGAAAAGATTAAACTTCTAAATTAACTCCATGGCAAAATGCCTCACTTGACTCACAATTAAGAATTCCACCTTTAAGCTAAGAGCAACCAGCCAGCGAGGAGAAATGCAGAGCAGATTGAAGAATTAATAATAATTAATACTAATAACAGGTCTCTGGCTTGCTGATGTAAATCAGTTCACCCTGGGTACATTTCAACAATATTCAAATGCAGCCACAGCAACCTCCCATTGGAGCATGGATGAGTCGAATGACAATAAACCTGCTTCTGGCTGGAATTTCCCAATAAATTTAGACTTGGAAAAGCATCACTGGGATGAGTGTAACTAAATCTCACAGGCTCTTATTAAAAAAACACCAAAACCCTACACTTAGAACCACATTACAGCTTTAACAAGAACCCAACATTTTTAAATCCACCTACAGACAAACTCCCTCTGCAGCCAGAGAGACTAGATCCAACCTCACGGAAAGCTGCAGAGGTAGGAACACTGATTTGCCAGTTATTCCTTCTGGCAGCTCAAACCTTTAGCTCAGAGCAAATGGTATAAAATACATTAACAAGGAGGAAAGGGGGTGGGTGAAAACCTGAGTGTCTGCCTATCAACCCACACGGAAAGGCTTCGCAGGGGGTGGGGGGACAGGAGGGAAGCTCAGCACATCTACAACGCCAACCAGTCCAAGCAATCAGATTATTTTGCTACCATCCCAGGCTAATTGGAAATTAAACCAAGTGTGTAATGGAGCTAATGAAATACAATGTTCTGGTGCTTAAAGCAGGAACCTCTGGCTCACTATGCCATTAAAATGAGGAGAAAATGAAGAAAAGGAGGAAAAATGAAGGGGCTGTGAGAAGATGCTGAGGAAAGGCAGCATCCCCCACGCAGCTGGAGGCTCCTGCCCTCAAGGGAGCCAGGCAGCATGTGATGTTTTCAAGAATGGAAAGGTGCTGACCTTACAAAGAGCACTCTGAGCTTACATGGTACATCCGTGTCATTAAGCACAGACTCCCAGGGCATCCACACGGATCGATATTTCACTGGGACACTCCTTTCCACGGCCACAGACCAAACTGTGTGCCTGAAAGGTCCCTAACAAGTGCTAACACAGACAAGCTCTCACTCTCCAGAATCTGTGACCCCCTACTTCTGTTCATATTATAATTACATCTTTTATCCTCAAGCCCCTTTTCCTTTGATTCCCTAGAAAGACCCCATGAACAATGAAAATTATTCACTTTACAGAAGAAATTCTTCTCTGTGAGGTGCTGAGGCACTGGCACAGGTTGCCCAGAGAAGCTGTGGCTGCTCCATCCCTGGAAGTGTTCAAGGCCAGGTTGGATGGGGCTTGGAACAACCTGGTCTAGTAGGAGGTGACCCTGCCCTTGGCAGGGGTGGAACTGGATAAGCTTTAAGGTCTCTCCAACCCAAACCATCCTGTGATTCTATGATTCTACAAAATAGCTTAATCTGGCAAGTCAGAGCCTATATGAACCTCTCACACTGTTAATGCATGTAATATGTATGGCTGTAAATTAAAGCTCTGGGAGACTGACACATCCCCAGTTCCTGATCACATCCCAAAAACTGCCTGGGTGGGGAAGACCTCCTGCTTGCTTTTTGCAAGTGGGATGAATTTTTATGGAGATGGCAATGAAAGGGAAGTTAAGTGTTATACTTCCCACAGTGTGCTTGCCCTAACTG